CGTCCTGTCCAAGAAGCCCTAGAGCTTTGGGGCTTCGGGCTGCAAGAATTTCGCAGAGTGAGCCCTTGATATCCCCGAAGTAAGAGAACCCCTAAACCCTAAACCCTAAACCATCTTGATCTTGGTAGCCCAGCAACCATATTTCAACAAGGGCATACTTTTTTTGTGGTCGCTTACTTTTCAAGGGAACCCCGGACCCAAAGAAGGGGAAAGGGTTCCCCGCCCCACCCCACTACAGTTTGCCCAAAGGCTCCTACGTAGAACCTTTTTGCATTTTTGGAGTAGTATACTACAATCCTCACTAACCAGGGTTTAGGGTTTAGGGTTTAGGGACCCAACAAAGGAACTACCTAGGAGCCTCCAGATAAAGTATTTTCCCTAAATGGAGGGTCTTCTGGGGAGCTACTGAGCCAGGGCACACCCGTGAGCAAGTCGATCTCGTCGTCAATCCTCAGCTCTGCAGGGTTTAGGGTTTAGGGTTTAGGGTTTACGGTTTAGGGTTTAGGGGCTTCCTGTGGATGTTGGAGATGGACTCCTTGATGTGTAGGCGTGTACATGCCTGCATATAGACCTATGTGTGCATGTATGTCGGTCTACGTCTACACATACACATATAGGTCTTATAAGTGTCTATATATATATATGTATATATGTATATGTCTATCTCTCTCTATATATATATGCACCTTTTTGCAGCGCAGCCTTTTACATTCAAAACCAGGTCTACATATGCGATGCTTGCATGGTTTGCCTTGGCTCTTCCCAGTTGAGGTCAGCTTTGGTGCTGGCCGGCTTAAATTTAAACTCTAAACCCTCAACCCTGACTCGATCCGGCGAGGGGATTCTCGAATGTCTCAGCAATACATGCGGCCTCAAGCTGCGTGACATGGCCCTTCCAGCCTCCCCCCAAACGCTGTCTGCTCTAACAACCCGAAACCCTAAACCCCAAACCCCCCAAGTAACTCGAAAAAAAACTGTGCTTCCTGCAAGCGGGGAACTGTATGAGCTTGAAGGCCGACCGTGCGCGAAACCCCTCCTCAGGTTAAAGCATCGAGGGTCCAGGGTTGAGGGAGTGCAGCTCCTTGGAGAATTCGTGATTTGAGTTGGGGGTTTCCGAAATTCGGGGTACCTTATTGGGGTCCTTCTGCTAAGGGGATCCTACTGTTTGGGGGGTCTTTATAAGGCTACCCCAAGTCATACCCCCCAATTGAGTTCGGGGGGTTTAGGGGATTCGGGGTTGTCCAGGTGTTGCAGAGTCAGCCTGGCATGTAGGCTAAACGTCTTGCGGTTCGGGGGATATGGAATTCTGGTGGGGTCGCTTACATTGCTCACATCCAGTTCGCTGCTTTGGGCTTGCCTTCGAGATCCTTAAAGTTTGAAGGTTTGGGGTCTTGGGCTCTCAAGAATCTGCGTCACTCCTGTGCGCAAAGCGACGGTGTCCAGTACGGCCCTGAGATCAGAAGTGTGTTGGCAAAAAAGTCCGGGGCGACTGACACCGGGTGGACTGCGTGCACGTGACCCACCCAGGAGGGAGAGGGGGAGTCAGCTCCCCCATTGAAGGGAAGGGGGAGGGGGGGGGGGGGGGGTCCAACAACAACCTCACCCTGTGATGCCTGGAGCCTCCATATGGGTAGTTTCCTAAATTAGGGTGCTTTTTGGGTACCAATTATAAGGCGGCACACTTGAAAAAAGTCATCTCAAAAGGGACCCTAATCTTCAGAACTACCCATATGCCATCTACATCGGGGATGCCGTGCGGCCAGAATCTCCAGCGCATGGTACAATCTTGGCAGCTGGTAAGGGCCGCAATCATCAAGAGGCGAGGCCCGAAAGCCAGCTCCAAGCAACGCCCCCAAAACAATCCGCCAAGCTAAGCATTAAACCGTGGGATGTTCCCCATTCGCTATTAAGGACTGTTAGTATAGGGGGGGGGGGGGGGGGAATCTCAATATTGAATCCTAAACTCAAAACCCTTGGATCTCAGCATGTGTTTAAACACAAACTCCAGACCCCGAAGCTCAAAGCACCCACTCTCTTCCCCAGGTCTCCTTCTTTGCCTCCCGATAGTAGACATCGCGCTTGTCCTGTGCAAGGACACGCTGGGGGGGGGGGGGGGGGGGGGAAGGGGGTACCCTTGAAAGGGACTTTAGAAGCTCTATAGGGCCTACTTCGAACCAACCATACTTGGCCACATGAAGTATCGGGATTTTGTGCTGTTAGTGTGTGCGTGTGTATATATATATATCGTATATATATATACAAATACGGTGTCTTGTACAGGTGAGTGTACATACTGCGTGCCTTTCCGGGGATACTGGAAATACAGACACCACTTACATAAGGACTTTAACTACGCAAAAAGGGTCGTTGGACGAAGGCTCCCTCCTTAAATCCGTTACATCCAGAGCAGCCCTACCAGTACCTTTACTGAAGAATAAATCAGGGAGATCAGCTGGCAAACCATTATTAGCTGACTCCTCTGACTCCTCCCAGGCACGGGACGCTCGAACTCCCCGCAACTTCCGAACCCTTCGAAAGGCGCTCACAAAGTGAAATGGCAAGCGACGAAACCCCTGAACCATAACCTTAGCTGGCAAAACCCTACATCCAGGCATTTCGTTCGAATAAAGACCCACAAAAAACCCAATCCCCAAACCCTAAACCTTCAACACTAACCCTAAACCCCAAACACTAAGCCCCTTACCCTTTCTGTTCTTTTGCATCCGGACTCCTTCAAACCTGAACCCTAAATACTGCACCATTGTTGGGGCACTATCAAGTGCCTTAAGTGTTCCTGAATATGTTCGTAAATTGTATTTTAACAATGACCCAGTAAACCCCAAGCCCAAAACCCCAAACCCAAACCCTAAACCCTATAACCCTAAACCCTAAACCCTAAACCCTAAACCCTAAACCCTAAACCCCTCCCCAACCTTGGAGAGCCGGCCCATCGTCACCGGGCCCAGAAGGGCATGTCGCGCGCAAAGGGGTGCTTGGGCTTCGGCTTTTGGGGTTTGGGGTTTGGGGTTTGGGGTTTAGGGTTTAGGGTTTAGGGTTTAGGGTTTAGGGTTTAGGGTTTAGGGTTTGGGGTTTGGGGTTTGGGGTTTTGGGGGACTTGCGGTGTAGGGGCGTTGGCGTTTAGGGAAGTTCGGGCGTGGGGTCCGGAATGCAGGGTTTAGGGATGCGGGCTTTGGGTGCAGGATAGTTGGATTCAGGTAAAATCCCCTGTATCAGGCTTGGTGGGCGCCCGAATAGGTGCTTCAGGTTCAGCGTCTCTCGGATTTCGGGCTTGGCCTGGAACCTCACGTTGGGGAGTCTTTATATGATTGCCCCAAACTCCTACTGATGAATGTAAGTATGTGATGAATATACCCAATAGACCTGCAAAGGAGTGCTAGTACAAAAAAACAGTTACAAGTACGCATATGCATTGATGTATGTATTATATACATGTATATGTGCATACTTTCATGTCTACGGCTCCGGATTGTATTGCGAAATTCTAAGAACTTTTACAGGGATGAACCTCGCACGTGGTAGTTGTGTAGGGATCGCTGGAAGTTCCTTTGGGGCTCGTTCAAAACGGGTTGTAGTATACTACCTTAGCAAGGTACTCGATGGGAGGTATGAGGTAGTGGTGTTGAGGGGTATAAGCAGGGAACCGTAGAAGGGACCCTTAATCTTATTCCCCTATATAACCCCTATACATACCTCGCCTGAGCCTTCATGCGCCCTAACTGGCTGGGGAGTGAGGGAATGAGGTACCTGATACAATCCCTTAAAGGGTATATATATATAAACAAATAAATATAAATATATATATAGAGAGAGAGAGAGCCCTAATTCCCTCATTCCCGACTAAGAGCCAGGGGGCTGCTACGCCCCTGTAGTGCGAAGGTGTCCCTACTCCTACCCAAAGGCCTCAACAGCAAAACCCAAACCCCAACCCCCAAGCCCTAAAACCTGAAGCCTAAACTCTAAACCCTGCTGCATATGTGTTGCGTCAAGAAGACTCATCTTTTCTGTGAGGTATACTCGCTGTAAATCTTTTAAAAGGCACCAGCATTCTACCTTCGGTCATGCCGGCAGTCACTTCAAGAGAGGTGCTTGGTCGTCCATTGACATCTGAGGAGGGGCGGCGTAGCTGAAGGCCTGCATGTTCCTGATGGGTTTGGGGTTTAGGGTTTAGGGTTTAGGGCTTAGGGTTCCTGATGAGGCCGGAAAAATGACAAAGGCCGCAGAGCCAGGAAACGAGAGAAGACAACGCAAACCAACCACACAAGACATGTCCAAAAAAACACTAGAGTACATGATCAAAGTACAGATATGTAGCAATCACCCCCAAACCATAAAATCTGTGTGGGCTGAGAAGTGGGTTATGGGATCAGGATCGATGTGGTGGCTTGGTTCTTGGATTGTACTTGGGATTTTGGTGTGGCTTGTTTGGGGTGTTTGGGGTTTAGGGCTTTGTGTTTTGGGACGTGTCGGAAGACGCCTCGCGAGGCTTCGCGAACTGTGCTTTGGATCTTGGTTTGGGCTTTGGTGGGTAGGTCTGGTCTTGCATCTTGTGATGGACTTTGGTTTAGATTGTTGGGCGTGGTTTTTTGCACTGCGGGGTTAGAACGGTTGATTTGTTAGGCGGAGTCTTCGAGATGGTATGAAAGGTCAAGGCGGGGCTTCGGATGTTGATCTGTGTTTTTGGGGGTTTGGTGTTGTGTTTGGGGGGGTGCTACGTATTTGGGATTTCGGCGTCGGACTTGGGAGGTGCTTTGTGTATTGTGGGTTGTGGGGGGGGTTGTTTACATAGACGAGTAGAGGCTTCAAAAACCATGGGGGTGAAAGCCTGGGGGGGAGGGGGGGGGGCATTGAGTGTGAGGGTCATTCTCTGCTTACTAAACCCCCCCGGAGCTTAGGTTGTTGGGTGTTAGGGTTTTAGGGTTTTAGGGTTTAGGGTTTAGGGCTTAGGGTTTAGGGTTTAGGGCTTAGGGCAACTCTAGGATTCATTGCTCCACTTCCAGCCCGGTGTTCTCAATGTTGTGCAGGGCGTGGTCGCCGCAGTCCAAGCACCCGCAGCTGCCGCAGCAGTGCTGCGGGTTGGAAGTCGCCACCTTCCTCGGGGGGGGCCAAATGACCCCTATCAGGGGGGGCAGGGGGGGCGGGGGGGGGGGGGGGGGGTTTAGGGTTTAGGGTTTAGGGTTTAGGGTATAGGGTTTAGGGTATACGGGGGGTTTAGGGTTCAGGGTTTTGTCCCCAAGGTTCAGCAGCTTCTCAAAGTTGGGCGTCTTCACAAGCCTGGGCAAATGGCTCAAGGGTTTAGGGTTTACAGTAGGGTTTGGGGTTTTAGGGTTTTAGGGTTTAGGGTTTGGGGTTTACGGTTGAGGGTTTAGGAGCAGCTTCGCGGGTCTTAGTTAAAGTGCTTGTTGCTCAGCTCCTCCTCGTCGAACAGCTGACCATGTTTCCTAAACGCAAGAGTGACCTAGGAATAACAAGGGTGGCCTTCTTGGTTTAAAGGATGTTCCTCCTTATACGAAGTGTCCTGAATAGGGTCCTAGTCTAATCCCTATTAAGGACTGTTAGTACAAGGGGGAACATCCCTAAACCCCTCAACCCCTCAACCCCTCAACCCCTAAACCCCTAAACCCCTAAACCCCTAAAACCCTAAACCCTAAACCCCAACCCCTAAACCCTAAACCCCTGTTAGAGAATAAGGATGAACATCCCAAAGGGTGCCCTTTTCTGCTTAGAGGGGGCTTGGAAGGGAACCTAAACTCCAAACAAAATGGAAATAAGGGCCTACTATGGGTCGCTGACCCTAAACCCTAAACCCTAAATAAACCCTAAACCCTAAACCCTAAACCCTAAACCCGAAACAGTAAACCCTAAACCCTAAACCCTAACCCTAAACCCTTTTGCAACTGGGACTTGGTGACAACCCTAAACCCTAAACCCTAAACCCTAAACCTAAACCTCCCGGAATAAACCACACCCAGCCACTTGCCATCCGCATCGAGGTAAGCGATGCGCCGCATTAAATACTTGAAGCCGACCTCGGACCTTTGGTTATGGGAAGTTTCGGTTTAGGGTTTAGGGTTTAGGGTTTAGGGTTTAGGGTTTAGGGTTTAGGGTTTAGGGTTTAGGGTTTAGGGTTTAGGGTTTAGGGTTTAGGGTTTAGGGTTTAGGGTTCAGGGTTTCCCTGTCAAAGCTTTCACAAGCAGGTGCCACCAAGAAAGCTCAAGGAGGGCTGCTCAAGTACGGCCCCGCGACTTTGTGTCCAGCGTGGCATAAGACACCCGCATCATGTCCTGAGCGGTGGGAGAGGCCCTAAACCCTAAACCCTAAACCCCAAACCCTAAACCCTTAAAGCCCTAAACCCTAAACCCCAAACCCCAAACCCTAAACCCTAAACCCTTTTTAAAGCACGGACTGAGGAAGCTGCCGGCGACACCTGAAAGTAGCAAGACTTGCACCAACTCCCTAAACCCTAAACCCCAAACCCTAAACCGTAAACCTTAAGGACAAACTCTCGGATGCCATCGGCTTGACGTAAAAAAGCGAAGATTGAGGGGTATAAATAAGGAAGCACCCCCTAGCAGGGACCCTTAATCTGATTCCCCTATATAACCCTACTATATATATATATATATATGAATATATGTACACTTTATAATCGTCCCTATGTTCCTAAGCAGCCCCCCCAAAGAACCCCCAAATGACCCGTTAAGGTCCCTTATAAGGGTCCCTTAGGCCCTTGAGAAGACAACTCAAACCGCCCTCTTCCAACGCAGACTCGCATCTTCGCCCGGCGTTAGGTCCATCACCTCCCCATCGGGTGTTTTGAAAACGTCGCCCGGCTGAATCACGTAGATCCAGTGGCTGCCACCCGGGTTGCTCACAGAAATGCTGATCCTTAGGGTTTAGGGTGTAGGGTTTAAGGTTTAGGGCTTACCGAAAACTCCAAAAAGTTGGAACATCCTTATCCCCCCAAACCCAAAAAGGGAACACTCACGGGAAATCCCGGCTCTAATAATCCCTTAAACCATGTTCCAACTTTCCTTGGCTTTGGAGTAGACCCTGAAAAAAAAAGTATATACTTTTTAGGTATAAGTAGCTATCATAGGAACCCAGAACCAAAAAAAACATTAAAGTATAGTACTCCAAAACCCAGCTTCTGGAGTCTCATGTATGGGATTACAGGGTGTGACTTGGAGCTGCGCTTCGAGGTGCGGATTCAGGGAGGGTTTAGGGTTTAGGGTTTGGGGTTTAGGGTTTAGGGTTTAGGGCTTAGGGCTTAGGGTTTAGGGTTTAGGGTTTAGGGTTTGGGGGGGTTCGTCCCTACTGAAAAGAAAAACCACACTTCGAGCTTGTGAGTGAGTGGTCAACGTACTGCCTTACACAGCAACCGAAACCCTAAACCCCTAAACCCCAAAACCCCAAAACCCCTAAACCCTAAACTTTCACCCTAAACCCTAAACCCTAAACCCTAAACCCTAAACCCTAAACCCTAAACCGGCCCAAGAGTCCACTTCCGGTTTGGGGAGAACTCGAAGAGGTGCCGGCCGCCTCGGATCCAAAAGTTGCCGGTGAGGACCACTCCCCACCTAGGCTTGGGGTTAAGGGTTTAGGGTTTAGGGTTTAGGGTTTAGGGTTTAGGGTTTAGGGTTTAGGGTTTAGGGTTTAGGGTTTAGGGTTTAGGGTTTAGGGTTTAGGGTTTAGGGCTGGGCTGTGCAGGGCTCAGCTGATGTTCGCGCGAAGGCATCGCTCTCTCTGCTTCAAACCTCCAGTGGCCGATCCGGAAGTTGGCGGAACTTAGGCACATTGAGGGCTTGGTAGCCCAGAAACCATATGGAGTAGGGCTCATATTTCTTGCATCCCCAAAAGGACATCATAATATATATATATATATATTTATTTATTTATTTATTTATTTATATTATACTGACCCATATTAAACGGGAACCTTGTATACACTCGCCAATAACAGTGATAAAACCCTGTTTCCTACGGGGGTTTACGATAATAAGAGAGCCCCATGGTAGACCCCCAAATAGTGGGATCCCCTTATAACATGGACCTTATATAGTAAGGTGCCCCTAGTATCGTCAACCCCCCATACTGAGGACTTAGCAGCCCAGCAACCAAAGGGCGGTTTCCGAAATTAGGGGTACCTTTTTGGGTCCTGATTATAAGGGAATCCCACTATTTGGGGATCTGTATTGCGGGTCCTCTGTTTTTCGTAAACCCCCATATCAAAATAAGGGCCCTAATTTTGGGGTTGGTTACTTTATGAGGGAACCTTGAACCAAAAAAATCGAAAAGTGTACCACTGAAGAGGAGCTGGGGGGTTTAGGTTTAGGGTTTAGGGAGTAGGGTTTAGGGTTTAGGGTTTCGGGTTTAGGGTTTAGGGTTTAGGGCAAAAACCTATGCTGAGCATCAGGGCCACAGGTTGCAGGCATCGACCGTCCAGTTGTACTTGGACGACTTCCTTGTGGAGAAATCCCACAACCGGGTGTGCAATACCCTAAACCCTAAACCCTGAACCCTAAAGCCTAAACCCTAAACCCTAGCTGGCCCTAAACCCTAAAGCCCTAAACCGCAGGGTAACACAAAGAAACAAAAGCCTGTGGGCTGAGAGGTTAGAAGCTTCATGCCCACAGAGGCCGTGGTCCACTCCGCGTCGTGGAACGTCATCACCCCCTCCGCCGCGACGTTGTCCTGCCTTGGGGGACGAAAGGAACCCCAAAAGGGTTTAGGGCTCATGTTACCTTGATAGGAATTATAGTAGCCCTAAACCCTAAACCCGAAACCCTAAACCCTAAACCCTAAACCCGGTATGTGAACCCAACTTTAAGGTTCATGTGGTCCCCAAGGTGCAACCACCAGACGCCTTTGAGCGCCTCGGGGAAGTTTGGGTGCGTTCCGGTCTGAAGCATCCTCACGAGCCACTCGTCCGAGTCAGAGATCCTGAGGGTTGCCCAAACAAGAAAGGAAGCACCCTCAACCGTAAACACCCTAAACACCCCAAACACCCCAAACACCCTAAACGCCCTAAACCCTGAACCCGAAACCCAGAAAGAGCCGGGAACAGCTTCGGCAAACAGCTTGAAGTTCTGAACCCCCCCCCCCAAAAAAAAAAAAAGAAACGGGGTTGGTGTGCAAGCTCTTCGTGTCGAGACCGAGCGTCTTCTCCATCTTGATTTGACAACACGGCGCGGAGCAGACACGGGCAATCGGCGCTATGCAACAGGCCGTAGACCGCAAGCTCCTTGAAGAAAGGGAACCCTATAATTGGGTTTTAATATTCCTGTGCTATGATAATCCCTATGGAGGTGGACCCTAAACATCCCTAAACCCTAAACTCTTAAGCCGAGACAAGGCTCTGGTACACGCACCTCGTGCAGCAAGTCTGTGCCTGCAATGCAAGCGCAGAACTTCGGCACAACGAACGACAGGGTTTCGGGTCAAGGCCATAATTCCTTCGTCTTTGCGGTCCAAGTCCTCCTTACCCAAAGGCTCCTATGTAGTACCTTTTTGGGGTAGCATACTAGAATCCCCTATACCTAACCCAAAAGGAACTACATTGGGGCCTTTGGGTAAAGGCCAAATACACCTCCATAAACCCTAAACCCTAAACCCCTCCAGAGCTACCAAGTCACCCTTTGAGGAGGATCATAGATCTCTGGCGGCTTCGCCAGCTTCTCCCAGGCTTCGAAGTCCCTCCTCGGCGCTCAGGGCAAGGGTTTAGGGTTTAGGGTTTAGGGCTTAGGGCTTAGGGCTTAGGGTTTAGGGTTTAGGGTTTAGGGTTTAGGGTTGACGCGGTGCATATACCCCAGTAGGAATTAGAGCAGCTCAGGGCACATGACCCCGGCGGATTCTTGGGGGCTTCTGCGTCCACCCTAAAAATCTTCGAACCTCAAACGGCACCAACCTTTGGCACCAAACGAACCCTAAAATTGGGGTCAGATACCCTATGCTACTACAATTCCCATTAGGGTATATGAACCATAAACCCCTTTAGGTGCATATACCCTACTATAATTCCCCTTATGGGTATATGAAACCATAAACCAAGTTTAGGTTCATATACCCTACTCTAATTCCCGTTCTGGGTATATGAAACCATAAACCCCCTATAGTAATTCTGATGGGTATATGAAACCATAAACCCCTTTAGGTTCATATACCCTACTATAATTCCCATATGATATATATATATATATATATGTATAGTATGAACCATAAACCCCTTTAGGTTCATGTTTTCCCCACAAGGAAACACCGAAACAGGTTCACATCGCTTCGCAGCGTCGGAGCCTGGGACAGAATGCCCAGCACCGACTCAGAGCGATGCTCGAAGGCCATGGCTACAGGAGGAAGGTCCCTAAACCCTAAACCCTAAACCCTAAACCCTAAACCCTAAACCCTAAACCCTAAACCCCTTGTTCTCGCCATCTCGCGGCCCTGCCTGCGGGGTGTGCGCCGGTGTGCGCTGTCTTGATCCGCGATCGGCGGAGCCTTGAAGTTATAGCCTTACAACTCACGACGAGCGACAACATCATCCACGGTTTCATGATGCTGAGTTGAGAACAGGGAATAGAGAACAGGGAAACTTGGAATCTACGGGGATTTTTTTTTTTTTGGGGGGGGGGGGTGTTGACTGCCAGACTACCGCCGGGATCCATTCAACTCAAAACAACCCCAAACCCTAAAACCCAAAACCCTAAACCATCGTCCCGACTCGTTCGGCAGCTGCAACTTGCATCAATTCAGCCGCCTTTTCTCCCCCAAACAGAAAGACCAAAAGATCTGCTGCTCACTGATCAGGTAGAGTTTAGGGTTTAGGGTTTAGGGTTGAGGGTTTACGGTTTAGGGTAGGCCCTTCAGACCACCTGCCCCTCTTACACTCTTGAACCCTAATGAGGGAAAATACCCACTATCCCAACTTTCGACTCAGCCCTAAGTGGCAACCCCACCCCCCACCTAGGGAGTCCACCAAAGCCCAAGCCAACTGAAGATGCAACAAATATGCCAGCTCAGCCTAGAGTTTAAGGTTTAGGGTTTAGGGTTTCGGACAAGACCCTACATCCGACACCCTGCACCCTAAACCGCAACACCAAATGTTTGGAAAAGGTGCAACCAAGTGCCGAGGGAGCGGAATTCCAAAATCGGATCCCCGGGTTCAAGATGGTATTTGGCCAGGCTACAAGGGCATCAGGGTTTAGGGTCTAGGGTATGAGGGCTTAGGGCCTTTGGGGTATGATTTAGGGCCTTTGGGGTCTGAGGGTATGAGGGAATGAGGGTACTATAGGGTATTTGAATATTCTTAGGGTTGGGAGCCAAGCATCGAGCCCTGTGCATTTTCGAGGCGCGGTCGCTCAGGCTAAGGTCTGCGCATCTGCAGGTTTTTTTAGGGCTTAGGATACAGGGGTTCGGGCTTAGGGTCCATCACGGGTTCCCCTACTACCCCGCTCTATACAAAGCCCCCCTCCATAATTAGGGCGACTCAGGGTTTAGGGTTTAGGGTTTAGGGTTTAGGGTTTAGGGTTTAGGGTTTAGGGTTTAGGGTTTAGGGTTTAGGGTATCGGCCTTACTTCTTTCTGGTCGAGCCTTATTGCCACTAGTTTTCCTGTCGCAGGCTGACCCGGTCGGCCTTGTAAACCTCAAGCCAAGCTCTGAGACGTCTGCTCCACTGCGGACACCCCTAAGCCTCCTTTGAGTGCCCTCTAATACCCTAGAAGCCCTAAACCCTAAACCCCAAACCCTAAACCCTAAACCCTAGCCCGAAACCCTAAACCCTAAAAGCCCTAAATCCATTCCAAGCTCGAACCTCACTTCTCCAGAGGCCCTACAGGTTCTTCGCCCCCATCCGGGGATCTCTTGACCACCGGCGTGTCCTGCGCGAACACGGGGTTTGTACCATTAGGTTTGAGGGTTTAGGGTTCAGGGTTCTGGTAGATGACTACTAATAATTGCTGTTATTATTACTGCTAGAGTGCTGTTACGAATACTGTTACGACTATGTCTACTAAGTTTATTACTGTGACTAACGTTATTACTGCTGTGTTTAACTCTTCTTAACACTGTGATTTGACGCACCCTTGAAGCAATGTGGGTTTAGGGTTCAGGGCTTCTTTCAAGGTGGGTCCTGCCTCAGCAGCTTGAGAGTCCTAAACCCTAGACCCTGAACCCCAAACCCTAAACCCGGTGAAATCGTTGTCGAGGCTACCCTCCGCCCTAAACCCTAATTCGCCCGAAACCCTGAGTGCAAAAGATCTGGGTGCTGTCCACGGACTGCTCTGCTGGCAGAAGAGGCAGAAGGAAATCATGCTCATTGCTCTCCTCACGTACCTTACCTGTGAAATTCTCTAAACCCAAAAGTGTTCCCTAACCCTTAACCCTTAACCCTAAATCCTAAACCCTAAACCCTAAACCCCGTGCGCAACAAGAAGCTGCGGTGTCCGGAAAGGCTCCCCACTCGGCCCAGGAGCCATCGTAGACGGTCCATCGCGACAGGGGCATGCCTTAGCGGCACATGGATTGACTTGGGGTTTAGGGTTTAGGGTTTAGGGTTTAGGGTTTGGGGTTTAGGGTTTGGGGTTTAGCATTTAGGGTTCAGGGTTCAGGGTTTAGGGTTTGGGGCTTAGGGTTTTGGCTTCAGGGTTGCAGGAACTGAAGGGGCACGGTTTTGAATACAAACTAAACCATGAGGGTTTCAGGAAATTCACGGCTTCGGCTGACTGCTGTGACTCTGGGCACTAAGGACAATCGCTTGGGCTTAGGGTTTGGGGGGGGGGGGGGGGGGGGGTTGTTTTGCAACTGCGCTTGGCTTCGACGTTCGTGCATGGCGTGGGCCGAGAAACCATTGGGGGGAATCAGCCCTAAAAGAATTTAGGGCCTTTAGGGCCTTTAGGGCCTTTAGGGCCTTTAGGGCCTTTAGGGCCTTTAGGGCCTTTAGGGCCTTTAGGGCCTTTAGGGTTTAGGTTTTGGGGTTTAGGGTCTAGGGTCCATGTACCTCAATGAGGATTATGACATGATAACAGCACAGGGGCACATGACACTCAATTATCGGGTTCATGGAATCAACCCTAAAAGGATTTAGGGTGTAGGGTTTAGGGTCCATGCACCCTAATAGGGGTTAAACCAGAATAATTCTAGGGTATATGGGAGTTTACGAATATAAGGGAGCCCTAAGATAGACCCGCAAATAGTAGGATTCCCTTATCATCAGCACCCCAAAAAGGTACCCCAAATTTCGGGGAACCCCCCATACGACCCTGAATTAAAGGGTTCAAGTGGTCCCCAGGGAAAGGTTCTCCCCGCGCCACCCGGCTGAGTCTCGCACCCATCTGATGCCTTGGTTTAGGCTTAGGGTTAGGGTTTAGGGTTTAGGGTTTGGGGTTTAGGGTTTAGGGTTCAGGGTTTAGGGTTCAGGGTTCAGGGTTCAGGGTTCAGGTTTAGGGTTCAGGTTTAGGGTTTAGGGTTTAGGGTCTAGGGTTTAGGGTTTAGGGTTTGGGGTTTAGGGTTTAGGGTTTAGGGTTTAGGGTTTGGGGTGATCGGGTTCTTACTCGTTTGATCCGCCGCCTCACGGTTCTCATTGGCCGTTTGCGCCGCCGCAAGGCCAACAAGAAAAACCATCACAGCAAGAGCCCTTAAGCCCTAACACCCTACATAACCCCCTTTTTTGAACCCAGACTCTGAACGTCAGCTGGCACGATGACAATTGCATCGACTACATAACCCCCTAAAACCCAAACCCTAAACCCTAAACCCTAAACCCTAAACCCTACACCCTAGAACCCTGGAACAAAAATAGAGAATTGAGAAGCTGCAGTACACTCGAGGGGCCGACGGATTGCTAAGGAGGCGCTAGAATTTTGGGGGTTTAGGGTTTAGGGTTTAGGGTTTAGGGTTTAGGGTTTAGGGTTTAGGGTTTAGGGTCCAAGGCTCTCGTTCGTGGGCCGTAGGGGTTCGACTCTCTCTCTCTCTCTCTCTCCGAAAGCCTTCGTGTTTAGGGTTGCGGGATCGGCTTCACAATTGGCATGTGGACCGCCGCTTCGACAGCGGTATTTATCTATATGATAATATGTAACTCGCTTTTGTTTTATGTGTTCGTTTCTCTACTTATCTATGTATGCATGCATGTCATGTGTGTAATGTGCAAACGTATATGCTTAGGTATACGTCTTTGTACATGTGCACTTGCATGTACAGGTGTAATTCACTTGGATTCCCCCCTCACGTCTAGGAACGGGCTTAGAGATTTGGCGACGAAAAGTCCTAGCAGCTGGCAAGGCCATTGCTAACCCCCAACTTCCCTGACGAGGTAAAGCTTTGAGCTCTCCACTGACAGCTTATAAGCTTGGCTCCTTGTGGGGCATGAGGTATATCACGTAGGCGTTCACCCCTAAACTGCCCGACTCACTACTCCATCTGCCGACAGGTGGCAGCGCCAGTCCTACAACACAGGCCGTCAGCCCAGAACCACAAGAAGTGACGATCCTTCCGGGGAGCTGATGACAGGTGTCGGGCTTCAGCTGTTATAAATCTCGGTCTGCGTGCTGTTGTAGTTCCCATTTCTTCGAACTTTTTTGGGGGGGTTTCGTGGGATTGGCTTCGGATGGGTTTGTTCTGAGACAGGAAAATTCGAGGCCCCTTGCCGTTTGTTCCAAAGGCGTGTGATATTGGTCTAGGAGCATGGCGGCCATCACGGGTGCTTATTCTAAAGGCGCCAAATTCTGTAAGGGACCCGAAACACTGACCGCAACCTCTAAACCCTCAACCCGAAACCCAAGGGACACGAATTTAGGACATGGTCAGTTCTCAGAATTATGGTACCTTTCTGGCGCCTTGTAATCGTAACCCCGAAGGGGGCCCAGAACTTAGAGAAGTGACTAAACCCTAAACCCTAAACCCTAAACCTAAAACCCTAAACCCTAAACCCCAAAAAAGGGGGAAAGGCCAGGAGCGGCCACGGGCCTTTGCCCCGCAGGGTCCGCGATGACGGATGGCGTCAGGCCAGCGGCCTGTTTGTAGCGCGTCACGTGGGGTTTAGGGTTGAGGGTTTAGGGTTTAGGGTTGAGGGTCTGTAGGGTTGGGGCTATAGGGTTTAGGGATTTGGGTTTATAAGGTTTAGGGGCCTAGGGTTTAGGGCAAAGAGGGTTTCGGGTTTTAGGGTTTAGGGAATTGGGTTTGTAAGGTTTAGGGGTTAAGGCAAGAGGGGGTTCTATAGGCAGAGGCCCAACCTGCGGAAATCCTCCCGCCTCAGCCGCCTGCGAAAGGGCATCTGGAGACGCCAGGCTCCTTCCAAGGGCAATTTAGGGGTTTCAATTTAAAAATTAGGGTTTAGGGTTAGGGGTAGAGAG